TAATACGACCTATTAATTAATGTTAATTTAAAACATAATAATTTTTTAATTGTTTATCTATAAATAACTTTCTTTCTTTTAAAAATAATATTTCAGGTTTTGTTTTCATTTTTTTTTAATTTTAATATTATTATTATTATTTTTTATAATTTTAATTATTTTTTTAAATAGAACGAATTTTAAATTTAGAATCAACAAATAAAATAAATAAATAAATGTCTTATGTAAAAAAAATGTAATTTAATTTTATTATCATCATCATTTTATCAATTTTTTTTTTATTTATTTATGTAATTTTTATGATTTCCTTACATATATGTATGTTGTTATCAATCATTTTCTTCATTTTATTATTATTATTATTATTATTATTTTCCGGATGGGGGGAAACAAAATAAATAAACAGGAAAAATTACTAAATTTTAAGGTCATTAAATTAAAAAACACAAAAATTACATCAAGTCAGTATTTTTTTATTAATTTTTTTTATTTAAAAGGGTGATGAAAATTTAATAATAATAATAATAATAATTATTTAAAAAATTTTCCAATCCTCTATTATTTACATAATTATTATTATTATTATTTAAAAAAAAAAAAACTTGTCTCACCTGCCTTGAATTAAACTTGAGATGTTTCTATTATTTGTTTGTTTTTTTTTTAAGGTTAAATTAAATACAAAAAAATTTAAAATTTCCTTGAGGCTGAAACAATTTGTAATAAATAATATTAATAATATTACATAAACAAAATTTCGCCATTTTATTTATTTATTTAAATAAATAAATAAATGATTAACAAAACAATAATTATTTTTTTAAAAAAAATGTTTATTTGATGTAATATGAGATCTGACACAAAATTTAACTAAATTAAATAACAATAATTTAAATAAATAAATAAAATGTAAACAATATAAAAAAAAAAAAAAAGTGCATTTAGAAAATGGGGGGTGGGGTTGCGGGGGAGGGTGAAGGGATTGAATGATTTTTTGTATTCGTGTGTGTGTGTGTGTGAGAAAAACAATCTGAGCATGACTTAAAAATAAGAAATCGTTAAAACACACACACAAGAGGATTTTTTTTTTTTTTTTTGATTCAGTAAGGTTTTACATTTTGAAAAAGGTTGAAACCACGCGATTTTTAACCGGTTAAATAATTTTTTATAAAAAAAGGGGGAGGGGAGGCCGGGAAAGAAAATTTCGTTTTTGGGGATTGACAATATGTACGCAATTGAAAAATACAACATTAATATAATAAATTCAAATAAATATAATAAAAATTACGTCATCATTTACAAAACGTGTTTATCATTATTATCATTATTATTATTCATTATTCGAACGTAAAAAATTAAAATCGTCAAAACGAATTTTCCATTTAATTTAATTAGGGGGGGTAGAGAAAGGGGTTGTAATAATAATAATGAAGAAGAAGAAGAAAAATCATTAGCACTTATCCCTCACGAAACATGTGGTAAGTTTTACAATTTTGTATTTTTTTGTAGAAATAATAATAATAATAATAATAATTTAAATTAAAAAATTTTGTAATTTTCGAGTGTAAATGATCGATTTAACTAATTATAAAAAAATAAATCATAATAATTTTTGAATGACTGACTGAATGACTGACTGATTGGCCCATTGACAGACCGACCGGTTTGACGTAACGATTTCATATAAAAATTTTTTTTCGTGTAAATATCATAGGTTTTATTATTATTATTATTATTATTATTATTATTATTATTTTACGATTTTTTTTTTTTTTTATTGATTTTGACGTTTGTAATTGATATCACGCCATTCGTTACGTATTGTTGCGAAAAAAAAAAAAAAAAAATGCATTTTCCGTAAATAGTAAATTGAGTCGATTTGTTACTTGATAATATATAATATTAAAGTTGATAAAATAAATCAGATTTTAAACGACAAACGTCTTAACATTTATAGTTTATTTCTAAATAGAGAAAGAGAGAGAGAGAGAGAGAGAGAAAAGGCCAAAATCTTTAAACGATGTTAATTTTTTTTTTTTTTTTTTGGGACGTGTTCTTTCATGGACGAATGGTCAAGTCGGATAGGGCTGACATCAAAGGCCAAAATCAAGAGGTTCATTATGAGTTAATATAAGGAAGCTAATGTAGATGATTGGGCTTAACTCAGTTTCGCGAGACCGTTTGACAAGTTCGCGAGTTACTTTTTTTTTTTTTTTTTTTTTATCAATTTGAAAATAATAAAATTTTTTTTTGCCTGATTTAAACATTATGTTTGTTGTTGTCGTTTATTAATTTTATAACGAATCGATTTTCAATTTTTTTTACTTTTTTTTAACTCGTAATAAAAAAAAAAAAAAAAAAAAAGAATTTGTGTGTGTTAAGTTATGATGAGTTCTCAAACTCAGTGATGCATAAAACTTGTGATAAATGTACGTATATGCACATGATTTCGGTTTTTTTAATTTTTTTTTTTTATTATTATTTCAGTTGTTTTAAAATTTTCCATAAATAAATAAAAAATTTAAAGTTAAATACGTTCGTTAACGTTTGTTAGGTTAGTTACGCGTTTGTTATTTTCAAAAAAAAAAAAGTAACGGAAATTTTATTAAAGGATTTTTAAAAATTTTCGTTTATTATTATTATTGGGCTGGCTATATTTGCTGACATTATTTTTGTTTAAAATTAAAAAGAAAAAACCACCATTAAAATATTTGAATATTAAATAATATTTCATTAAAAAAATTTTTATTTTTATTATTATTATTACTATTACAGTTAAACAATCATGGCGAAATAATAAAATATTTGCATAAAAAAAAAAAAAAAAAACCATTTGTATTACGAAATTTATTTTTAATCAATCGATATATTTCATAAAAAAAACATTTCTGATTTGAATATATAAATAATTTTTGCAAAACTTACAAAAATAAAG